ATTATGATGTTGATTGATCTAGGTAAGGATTTTTTTTCCTTCGAGATGTAATCCATATTGAAGACTGTAGTCTTTGATTTTCTTCAATTATATGCTTCACGTTATTTAGTTTCTCCAAGTAAGGTTGTTTCATCTGCATAAAACAAGCTGATTAGTTTTCCAATCCTGATGCACCATTCTTTGTCATAAAGGCTGGTCCCAGGAATGATTTGCTCAGATAGAGCCTGAATAGGTATGGAGAAATGATACATAGACTTTGCCTGATTTTAAACCACGCAGTGTTCCCTTGTTCTGTTTAGACAATAACTTCTAGCCTATGTGTAGGTTTCACATTAACATTTTAGGATTCTGATTCTTCTCAATGTTAGACATAATTTATTATGATCTACATAGTCAAATGCCTTGGTATAGTCAATAAAACAAAGTAAACATTTTCCTGTTCTTTTTCTTTCAATCAAGACTCATCTGACATCAATGTCTCTCCCTCTGAGGCTTATTGTGCATCCCACTTGCATTTCTGGTAGTTTTGCTGTTTTCGGTCTTCTTGAATAATCTTCAGCAAGATTTTACTTTCATGTGATATTAATGATACTTACTCTTCTGTAACTTTCACACTCTGTTGGATGGTCTTTTTTTAAATGGCAACAAATATGGCTCTTTTGTAATCAGTTGGGCAGGTAACTCTCCAAACTTCTTAGCATCGACTAGTGAGCACATGAAGGACTGCAACTCTTTTTGAAACATGTCAATTGATACTCCATCAATGACTGGGGCTTTATTTTTTGCCATTGCCTTTAGTACAGCTTTAACATTTTCTTTCATTATCATTATTAATAATATGCTGCTTCATGAAATGGCTCATAATCAGCCAATTCTTATTGTACAATGACTCTATATCCCATTTTCTTTCGTTGTTTCTTGCATCATTCAATATTTTGCTCAAAAAATCCTAACATTTTCTTTCATTATCATTGATTATTAATAATATGCTGCTTCATGAAATGGCTCATAATCAGCCAATTCTTATTGTACAATGACTCTATATCCCATTTTCTTTTGTTGTTTCTTGCATCATTCAATATTTTGCTCAAAAAATCCTTCAGTATTACAATTTGAGGCTTGTATTTGGTCTTTAGGTCTTTCAACTTGAGATGTTGAGCATGTTCTTCCCTTTTTCTTTTCTAATTCCATCTCTGCACATTTTATTCTAATACTTTTACCTTCTTAAACAGTCCTTTGAAATCCCCCATTAAGCAATCTTATTTAGTACATGCTATAAGGAATGGCTCCAAATCAGTTTGAGACCTAAGGTGTGCCTGATTCAGGCCATGGTATCTTCAGTCACTTGCTATAGATTTTAGTGCTGGACAATGAATAAAGATGACTGAATTGATGCCTTTAAACTGTGGTGCTGGAGATGAGAACTGGATATCCCATGGAACAAAAGAAATAGATATGTCTTGGAGAAGGTGCAGCTAGTGCTCCTTGGAGGTAAAGATGATGAAACTGCATTTCACATACTTTGGGCATATTGCCAGGAGAGGCTATTTCTTAGAGAAGGACATCCTGTGAAGGAAAGGAAGACCCATAACCAGGTGGACGGACACAATGACTACAGCAATGGGCTTGCATATCAGAGATTGTGACGATGGCACAGGATAAGACATGGTTGACATCTGTTGTTCACAGTATTGCTGAGTAATGCTCTACTTGACGGCACCCAACAGCAACAACATCTCCCTGAAACTGTCAAATCCAGAGGACAAAAGGAACTGACATTTAAATTTACATTTTGATTGGTGAGCAGATAATATAATAATGTAATATGATTAAGGATGACAAACATTTGGGGGAAGTCAGTCATACAAACTAGAGAAAGATTTTCCAAGCAGAAAGAGCTTCTACTATTGTTCCAGTTACTGTGTCAATTCATCTTGGAGTATCTTCCTCTGACTCTCCTTTTTGCTGGATGATGTCCTTTATGTAAATTTTACTGACTATGCAAAGAAATTCAACTGTGTAGACTGTTGACAAATTATAGACAACACTAGGAAGAATGGGAACACTTTAAGATTTTTTGTTTAAGAGCAGAGAATGTGAAGATTAAAATGTTTCTGACACATGTTACATTATTTTCTATAGCCTTATATGCATGTGAAAGTTGGACAATGAATAAGGATAATCAAAGAATTTCTTTCATTGAATTACATCATTGACAAAGAACACTGAATATATCCTGAACTACCAAGATAATGAACAATCAAGCTTAGAAAAGCAGACTATTCCTCAGAAGCAAAAATGATGAGACTTAGTCTCACATATTTCTGATCTGTTTGTTCTTTTCCACAGGAAGTCACTATAAATTGAAATTGGTCAGCACCTAACAACAAAATGTTAGCTAATTGTTATAATGAAAACCAAAAAAGAATAACAGAGGTAGAATTCTATTTAAGAAAGGGAAATACTTTATTGAAGAAATAGGATTCAGCCAAAGACTTTACAGCAAAGCACAGCTATACAAATATTTATCCAGATAATGGAAAAGGCAAATGAAAACAATATTAGAAAAGAATTTGGTTATTTGTGTGCAAAACAGCAAAATGAATGGGTGCAGAACAAAAGGAACATGTAGGAAAATGGTGATATGGCCACAGAGAGACAGATTACGAAAAGCCTTTTAGGTCATGGAAGGATATTTTGTTGGTGCTGAGAATGTACACAGTTGAACCATTTCTTTTTTTTTTTTTCTATAATTATATTTTATTAATTTTCATAAACATTTACAGAGATTTTGGGCTTCCACTCATTCATTGTTGCACTATTCTCTCTACCCTCCTCCCAGTTTGTTCTTGTCCAAATGCCACAGTGCTTGTCAAAGCCAGTTCTGATTAATCTTCTTTGTCAGTGTATCCTTTGCCATTCCCTATCACTCCTCCCTGAGAGAGACTTCACCCTGAGTCATAAGGAAAAGGGGACGGCGTATTCTCTTAGCTACTTCCTGCTGAAAAGGGACGCTGTGGGTTTCAGGGTGAAGATCTTCTCTCACTACTCTAAAGGGCCCCTTTGGCAGTAGGAAACACATAGACTATTATGGAGATTGATTTTGGAATTCAGATGCACTCTTATTGATTGTGCTTGGCTGTACATGTACATATCCTTCAAGATGTATCATGGGGGTGTTGCAACCTAGAAGACACAAATTTGACTAACAAGTTATAAGTACATGAGTCCAAAAATTATGGAAAAGTAAAAGAAAAAAGATTCTTTCATTGTTTTACAAACCCTCCCCAAGGTCCCCTCCACCATGCAGCCCTCGCCCTAGTCTCCTGTGATGACAGAAATACCCAGTTACATCTCTCTTTTAGACGGTTCTCTCCCTCCTCTGCTTCAGTGCAGTATACATTATTGAACCCATCTTACTCAGTGTCTCCCTAACCCCAAGGACAGTCCCATTCTACAACAGTGGCATCATGTAATATTTGTCCTTTTGTGACTGGGATATTTCACTCAGCATAATGTTCTCCAGAGTCAACCATTTTGAATAATATTGCATGAGTTCCTTGTTTTTTAATGCAGCATAGTATTCCATTGTGCGAATATACCACAGCTTCTCTAGCCATTCGTTTGTTGATGGGCACTTAGGTTGTTTCCAACTCCTTGCTATTGTGAACAAAGCTGCAATGAACATGGGTGTGCATGAACCATTTCGACATAAACATTTATATGATGATTAAATTCTTCTAGCTGTACAACCATTCTCACCCCTTTCTTTGGAGCCTTAACATAAACCCACTTGCTCCTAACATTGCTATCTAGTCTTTCAGGTTGCTCTTGTCACTTATATCCATCTCTCTCATTGCCATCATGTTGTAACCAACTCACAGCTGATCATCCAGTCAGTTTTTAGGGACTGTAAATTGCATAGGAGGAGACTGTCCCTCTAAGGTATCTTTCCACCATGAGTAGCTGTGGCTGAAGGTCTTTGGAAAATGAACTGCTGAAGGATAAAGGCAGAGTTGGGAAGTGAGGTGAGAGATACAACACTCATGTAACAGCAAGATGGGCAGCAGTGGAAGTGAAACTGGGATATAATTTGGACATGGAATTTATTTGATTTTTGCAAATTAATATATTAATGGATGGGGTATTAAAGTGTTACAGATGGATTTCTAAAACTACTTATGTCAAGAGAGCTTGCTATGACATTTTCTAGAATGGGGAAACTAACTAGGAGAGGAAAAGATAGAAGGACATAAACCAAATGTTGTTTTGGTTATGAAAAGCCTGTGCCACCTATTGCATATTCAAAAGGGCATTGGTAGAATCAGAATCAGAATTGACACCACACAATGGCTACAGGAAAAACTTCACTGAATCTCACTAGAGGGCATGCCAAAGCCACTGGAATGGATAAGAGAATGTGCCTGAGATACTGTATGTGGCAATAGTAATTGCAGGAAAAGAAGGGGGGATTGAGGAGGGGAGCAGAATCATGGTCAGAGTATATTTCTTTTCAAAACAATTTATTTCAATAGTAAAGTAATAACATATAGTTGTAAATGTAGACAATAATACACAAAATCAGTAAGAAGTAATATTAAATCTTAAGAGTAAAATTAGTTCAGCACAACAGTTTCTGCTCATCTTATATCTGAAAGACCAACCAATATTCCATATATTATTAATTTTCCAGGAAAAACATTAAAATAATAGTTACAGTTCAAATACAGGTCTTTATTACTAGGAAAGCACTTTTGAAAATAAGTATAAAAATTAGGAACACTTTTTTTAAAAAACGGCCTCACTTTCAACTGTTAAAGCTATTTTTGAAAGGAATATGGGATTAGTTTTCACTAATTAACCTTTATAATTAAGACAATGTAAAGGAAATACATCCTTTTTGGATGAAACAAGATGTTCTGATAAAAATGGGACAAGGTCAAAATCTTTCTTTATTAAATTGGTATAAAATTCTCAAACTTATAGTTCTCAGATGGGATATTGAATGAATTCTACTCATTCATTTCCCAAAGTTTTATTTACAATCACAATATAGGTATTATCTGTATACATAACAAAAAAAAATTAAAATAAATGACGTAAAAGATACTTGGGTAGTAGTAGGGACCTCTTCAGGATTGTATTTCAGATTTGCAGTTTATAGAACAGAATAATCTTCTCTAGGAAGAACAATGTCAACATAGCAGCACTATATTCACCAGGAACCCCAGAGCCAATGGATCTATATCATGTGGCAGGAAACCTTCTGGCTGCTTACAACATCACTCAGTTTCCCTTTAATCTTCAAAAAATGTCTCTTGAACTCCAGTCCATCACCCTGTATCAGAAGTAATATCCAAATATAATGCAAAAAAGAAACAAAGGAGCTGTATCACAAAATCAAACTTTATAGGTAAATGAAGACAAAGAGCCTTAAATTATAGCTAGTTACAATTCCCTTCAGGTTTTCAGGTTGTTTTGTGAAGAATAAAAATCTTGGTTAGAGGCAGCTACATAAATAATTTTAATCAGGTCTCATGCTCATCAACAATTCTATCAAACTGAACTCAAACAAGAGGATAAAAATAACACCTTGTCTATTTCTAGTGTTAGTATCTTTGGCTTTAAGTCATAGTTTTCAGGGAAGTTACCCTAAAAATAAGCTACATAACTACACTAAAGTCTTGCAATTACACTGAAGCATCAAAGTTGGAAGATTCAGCTATAAAACGGATTTCATTACATTAAGATCTTAATTCCACAGCAAGTATCTGGACGGCATTACTGCAAATTTTTAACAGAAAAGCATTCCTTATCTTAAAATTTTTAGAGCCATGTAAAATCTCCTAGGTAATAGAAAAAAAGAGTATTTTGGTTTTATATACAAGGGCTCTAAAATAATTCCTAAGGAAATAATCAGAAATGTAGTCTAAGAAAATACAAGTTGGGGGGGAAAGATCTATATATAAGAAAAACCTATTCATAGATAGTTAAAAGGCTCACTACCTAATAACGCTCAAGTACTTTTACCAAGTAATTTTTTTAAAATATAGGACTATTTCAAATTACTAGAAGTGACTACTAGGCTGTATACTTTAGGATTATTTTTACTTTCTTCATGTTATAAAGAATGATGGCAAGAAAAATGTTTATAATAGTATATGAAGAAAGTTATCATATTAAAAAAATCTCAATTTACAAGTATTTCCAGATAGAATAATGAGTTCTTACTAGAATAAGCTTAATTCTTATTTTCTTCTTTACACATTATCATAATTTTTACATTTCTACATTTTATACATTTTTTTTAAAAAAACAGGTAAAATTTTTTTAACCAGATAGTTACTGTTCTACATACCTTGGAAAGTCGGAAGTCTACCAAGATCTTCTCATTCATTTCTACTAAGTTCACTTTGAAAATCAATTTATTATTTCTCCTGTCAGTTGTTGATACAGTAACCTAAAGCAGTAAAAATTAGATTAAGGCAGATAAATGAGTAAAGAATATTTCCAGCAAAAAATATAATCTCAAGTTAAATCATTGACCTACTAGGGTAAAAATTTGTGAAGCTCTGTCACAACTAGCATGTAGTGTCTGAGAGTCTGAGAATCTCCCTATCTCCAGGGTCTCTTCTCCCCATCCATGTGGGTATACGTGACAAGCCAAGCTATAAACAGAGGGCAGTTCCACTGTTAGTTATGGACTTTATGAGCTTTTTTGACAATAAAAGATATTTGGTATTTAATTAAAATGTGACCAAACCAAGAAATTATGAGAAAAATAAAACACAATGAGAGGGCAAAAGAGAATGTAAAAGACAGGGGGGAAAAAATCTAGAATTTTGGGCTGAAATGCAGTAGCAGCATTTATAAGGCGTTGAAGACCTTGTAAGCTCCCCTTTCACACTTTTAAAACACTCCACAGAGAGAAAGGTCTGTCTTACAGCCATCAACGCAACAAGACCCAAAAACTGAGTGAAGCCATTTTAAGACCATGAATCTCAATAAAGCCATCAGATAACTATGCAGATGAAAGAGTTCACTCAAGGCTAGTTTTGTCCAGCTACATAAAACCCAAATTGCATTATTCATCTTGTGATCATTTTCATGTCAAAGAATGACTACAGAAACACATAGCTATGTCTCCCACTGTTAAACAAGATGGAAGAATCAACACTCTTGGTACCAATAGCCAGGAAATTCAAAGACAAATTGCATTGGGAAAATCTGCTGTCAGAGACCTCTCCAGAGCACTGAAGAGCAATGACGTCAGTCTGGAGACTAAGGTGTGTCTGATACAGGCCATAGTATTTGCAATTGCTAGATATGCGTCAGAATGGTGAACAATGACTAAGGATGATAGAAGGAGAACTGATTCCTTTGAATTGTGGTGCTGGAGAGAGTACTGAATATACCATGGACTGCTAGGAGAACAAAAATTTTGCCCTAGAGAGGGTGAAATCAGGTTGCTCCTTGGAGGAAAAGATTCTGAAGCGTCATCTGACATACTCTGGACATGTTGCAAAGGGGGGCCAGTCCGTGGAGAGAGACATCATGCTTGGGAGGTTGGAGGGAGAAAGAAACACCCTCGATGAGATGGACTGATTCAGTGACTGGAGCAATGGGGGTAGGTGTATCAGAGACAATAACACTGGCTCAGGGGAGAGCAAGGTTCAGAGCTGTTGTATATGGGGTCACTATGAGTCACAAGCAACTTGACAGCACATAACAACAACATAAATAAAGTGCTAAAAGGTTAAGGACAAGATGCTTCAAAGATTCAAGCAGAAAGAAAAATAATTTAAGAGTAAAGCCAGCAAAAATGATGTAATAAAAAAAACTTCAAAATGTACTCCTCCACAAAGCAAATGAAAAAGTACAAAATATTGTCAGAATGAACCTTTATAAAATCTTGAAAATAAGCTAAAAGCTTGCAGAAACCCAGGGAAAACGTATTTAAGAAATTACTGAAATGCACAAAGAATGATCTTCATGGCATTTTAACTTGCCCTATTGCTCCATGCAAGCCTTTACAATCTATACAGCAGGCACACATAGAAGTGAACAGAAAGAATGAAGAGTCACAGATTTTTTTTTAAGCTATTCTGTCTAGTACCTCCCTGGAACACTGGCCTAACAAGTTTATCTTTTTATTGCTGGTGTTTGCCACTGAGTCAACTCCAACTCATTGCAACCCATGTGACAGAACAGAAACTGCCCCATAAGGTTTCTAGGACTGTAATGTTTATAAAAGCAAAGAGCAGTTAGTTGACTTCATGTGAATTAAACCTCAAGTAAAAAAAATGAACAGCGTATAATGAACAGAAGAAAACCACCTGATAGATTAATTTCTTCATAACAACATTTTCTCCTAAAATAATCTTTCATCTGGAGATTTCCATTCTGCTACATTTGTCTTATCTATCTAGATACATGTCTTTGTCCACTGTTTACAGTTTCTAAATTACAGTTTTAAGTTATCATGGCACTTGACTTCAACATGTTTCTAACATAAACCTGACAGTCTCTCAGTAACCACAATGTCATGACTCTTAAGATATTTGACATTTGTACATAAATTTTATCCATTACACAAACTTCCGTTACAGAGTTTCTTAAAATTTATAATCTAGTTAAAGATCATTCTATTCTGTTTTCAGGCCTCTTTCAATTTTCTTTAATAGATCCCTCTTTCACATCATTAGTGGTTCTCAAAAACCTACAGACATTAGAATAACAATGATATAAATAAACTAGAATAACATAAAAAAAAGAAAATTGATACATGGGTGCAAGGGAGATGACAGATGTGTGGAATTGCTAACATATATTCTTTTTTAAATTTAAGTCAATTATTATTATTACCTAAAACGTAAGCCTGAAAAATATAATGACTAAAGTTTTTGTATGTTTTCCATAACCTTACCAAAGTCTTTTGGAAATAATGTATCTTTCTTTTGGTAAAGAATAGTTTGCTTAAATTTCTAAAATTTCATAATTTATAACAACAAATTAATTATATTTTAAAAATATTTTCATAATCATAGTTGTTATTGAGATATTTACATTTTCCTTTATATAAAGATAATTTAAGAAGACTAAAACATACCTGATTTATGCAACTCTTCTTCCATTGATAGCCTAACTTCTCACAAGTCTCTTTCAGGCAATGATAAGATTTGTCTGCATCCAACTTGGTAAAGAATCGTGTCATTCTTTTGACTAAGCGTTGCCAGGGGTTCTACATGACCAAGGGGAAAATAAGACTCTAAATAAATCCTTTCTGACCAAAAGTAGTCATATCATAAATATGTGGTCTGAAATTCTTTTCCATGATTGCTAAGATTCTTATATATGATGATCCACTCTAATTATCTCTTCAGTGATCAAAAATTCTGTGTAATTTAAAGTACTAAATTTTAAGTTCAATGGAAATTTTTTTAATACTTAATATAAAATATTTGTAGGCTCATGTGTGAAGAAGCTGGATTCTGGTGAGTAGGTTCTCTTTAGTTGCAAGTCAGGTGTAAATGGTTTGGTTGTTTTTTATTTAGTTCATAATCGTGTGTGAGCTAATTGGTTACCTCCTCTAAGTGGTACAGCAGTGGTCAGTTGGCTGTGCTGGGGTTGGGGTTGTAAGTGTTGTAAGTTGGGGTTGCTGTGATACTGAACTCCATGGCAATGTTATGTCAAATGCCATAATGGTTAGTTGTTATGAACAGTGTTTGGTAGAGCTCGCAGATTAAGACAGGCTTGGAAGCAGGATTGCCATCCACTTCCTAAGTAACATGCCTTTGGAAACTCTGTGTACATTAGAGAAATTATGATAGTTCTAAAACAGGGTTCAGATCTTTGGTTCATAGGGTCACTATGAGTTGTATGTGACTCAATAGCACTTAACAACAACAATAACAACAATATAAAATAAAAAATTTCTATTATTTCTATGGAAAATTAAATTCCTTTACCTGTGAGGATCCTGGAGTGCCAAGTAACTGGCTATTCAGAAGCATATGATCAGGACATGTGGGCTGAGAAAAACTGATCCCTTGTACCAGTTTATCTATGTTTGAGGGGCTGGTATCCAATAAGGAAAGACATGTCCGTGGTTCTGGTTGAGAGCTAGAGAACTTCACTGTTTCTTCACTGAAACATCAAAATAGGGATAAAATATGCTTTAAGTTCAGACAGTTCTAGCATATTACCATCAGTACAAAGAAAAAATTATATTAAGAAAAATGCATATATGTACTCTTTTTCATGGAGATGATTAATTCAGCAGCTATTTTCTCTTTATTGGTCTTACCTAGAAACACTATTTACTGGAAAGAATTCCAAATTGGATTGAATGTGCTTCGACAATCCACTTGGAGATTCTGATACGACTCCTGATGTAACCTGGGGCCTCCTGGGCCCTAAAAATGAAAAGATAAATGCTTTTAACACTTCTATGCAGTTTTGTTTTGGGGGAGGGAGGTTTCATGAACTCAGGAAGAATCTTGAAGAAACACCATATCTAAATTTACTATGCAACCCAAAGTATCAGACATAAAAGTATGCTCCAAATAAGGAGGACCAAGTTAAAGTCATAATTGGTATCTGTAATGGTACAATCTACAGTAACAGAACAATTGTTTGAAAAGCAGACTGTAAGGTCAATCTAAAATAACAGATCTTTTAAAAATAGATCCTTTGGAAGGAGAATGCCTATCTTTCCCCCATAGAGCAGCTGGTGGATTTGAACCACCTACCTTCTGGTTGGTAGTGCAGTTACTTACCATTAGGCCACCAGAGCTTAAAATAGATTTTGATAGTGTGTTCAGAGACTATGAATTTGCTACAGCAAACAGTCTTTTTTCCCTTGGAATAGACAATAAGAAAACTCACTATACAGAAGAGAATACTGCTATAATCATTCATTATGTTTTCTACACATTTATATATATACACTCACTCCTCCCTTATTGACACTGGTAGGTTCCAAAGAACAAGTATTATGTGAACATTGGTGGTAAATAAAAATGGAAAACTGCATCAAATCACAAAATGGATGAGGACTACATCACAGATGTCAAACACCCGAGACTCACGGCCAGTCATTTGATCCATGTTGTTATGTGCCACTGAGCTGCTTCCAGCTCACTGCGACCCTATGTACAACAGCCCTAAACCCTGCTCTGTCCTGTGCCAATCTCACTGACTGACACACGGACCCCAAGTACCCTAGTCACTGAATCAATCCACCTCATAGAGCCATCTTCTCCTTCTGCACTGTCCCTCCACCCTCCCAAGCATGACCTCTCTCCAAGGACCAGTCTCTCCTTGTACCATGTCTAAACTACGTCAGATGAAGCCTCAGAATCATTGCCTACGAGGATCAGCCTAGTTTAACTCTCTCCAGGATGAACCTGTTTGTTTTCATATCAGTCCATGGTACATTCAATACTATTCTCCAGCACCACAGCTCAAAGGCATCAATTATCTATCATCCCTAGTCATTGTCCAACTCTCTGATGCATAACAAGTGATTGCAAAGACCATGACCTATACCAGACGCACCTTAGTCTCCAGAGAGGCACCGTTGCTCTTCAGTACTTTAGAGAAGTCCCTAACAGCAGACTTTCCCATCACAATACGTCTGTTAATTTTCTGGCTGCTGTTGCCAACAGTATTGATTGTGGGCCAAGCAAACTAAAGCTATGAACAGTCTCAATATCTTCACCATCTATCCTGATGCTGCCAATTGGCCCAGTGGTGAGAATCTTTGACCTTCTAACACAAATGCCTCCGGGCCTCCTTTCAGCAAGCAAGGTTGTGTCATCTGCATAACAGTCTGTTGATTCTTGCTCCAATCCTGATGCCATATTCCTCCTCTGAGTCCAGCCTCCCAAATGATCTGTTCTGCAGAAAAACTGAAAAGGTATGGAGATAGGACAAATCCCATTTTGAACAATGCAGTGTTTCTTTGCTCTGTTCTGACAACTGCTTCTTGATCCAAGTATAGATTTTGCATGAGGACAATCAAGTGTTCTGGCATTCCCATTCTCCTCAAGGATAGCCACAATTTGTTGTGATCCAATAAATACCTTTGCATAATCAATGGACAGATAGACATTCCTCTGGTGCTCTATGCTTTCAGCTAAGATCCACCTAACATTGGCTATAATGTCCTGAGTGCCATGGCCTCTTCTAAACTCAGCTTGTACATCTGGCAGTTGTCTGTTCCAGTCATTTTTGGATAATCTTCAGCAGGATTTTGTGTGTTTTATTAATGATACTGTTTGAAAATTTCCACTCTGTCAGATCACTTTTTTTTTTGAATGGGAATAAATATGGATCTCTTCCAGTCAGTTGGCCAACAAGTTATCCTCCAGATTACTTGGCACAACCTGGTGAGCATGTCCAGGGCAGCATCTATTTGTTGAAATATGTCAACTGGTATCCCATTAATTCCTGGGGCCTTGCCTTTTGCCAATTCCTTCAGAGAAGCTTGAACTTCCTCCTTCATCACTGTTGTGTCTTGGTCATATGTTGTTTCATGAAATCCTTCTGTCAACCAACTCATTTTGGTATAGGGTCCCTGTGTACTCCTCCTCTGTCTTCTTCTGATGCTTCTTAGGTAACTCAGCATTTTGTCCACAGTATCCTTAAATACTGCCACTTGAGGTCTAAATTTGCTTTTTAATTCCTTCAGTGTAAATGCAAGCAAATTCATCCTTTTGATTTCCCACTTTAGCTCTTTGCACCTTTCATTGTAATATTTGGCTTTGTTTTCCGGAACTGCCCTTTGAAATCTTTTGTTCAGCTACTTAATGTCTTGATTTCTTCCCTTTGCTTTGGCTTCTCAATGCTTTAGTTAATCCATGCAAAACTTTAATCATCACAGTCAGCATTACTTTCTTACTTTGTACCAAGGTGTCTATTACTGCCAGATATATTATGATAATGTCCCCAATAGTTGACCTTTTTACTATTACAATAAATATGCAATGTTGGAAAACAAGAAAGTTAAAAGGTGACTCATAATTCATTTTTTCATGCTTACTACTCTTATCCACAACAGCTCAAAGGCATCAATTATTTTTCTATCATCCTTATTCATTGTCCAGGTCTCAGATGCATAGCTAGTAATCAGAAAGACCATGGCCTGAACCAGACACACCTTGGTCCTCAAACTGACATCACTATTCCTCAATAATTTGGAAAAGTCCCTAACTGCAGATTTTCCTACTGCAATGTCTCTGTATTTCCTGACTGTGCATACCAAGTGTGTTACTGTGGATCCAAGCAAGATGAAGCTGTTGACAGTTTCAATGTCCTCTCCATCATGACATGGCCTAGTAACAATCTTTGTTTTCTTAATATTGAGAGGCAATCCATACTGAAGGCTGCATTTCTTGATCTTCTATACAACAAATGCTTCAAACTCTCCTCACTTTCAGCAAGCAAGGTTGTATCATCTGTATAATACAGGTTATTGATGAATCTCCCTCTAATCCTGATGCCACACTCCTTTTCATAGAGTCCACCTTCTCGGATAATTTGCCTAGCATATAGATTGAACAGGTATGGAGAAGGAATACATTCCTGACGCACTCCCTTTCCAATTTCAAATCATGCAGCGCTCCTCTACTGCATTCACATGACAGCCTCCTGAACCATATATAGGTTCCTCATGAACACAATCAAGAGCTCTGGGATTCCATTCCTCTCAATGTCAGTCACAATTTGTTATGATCCACACAGTTAAATGCCTCTGCATAGTCAATAAAGCACAAACAGACATTCTTCTGGTATTCCTTACTCTCAGCCAGGACCCATCTGCCATCAGTAATGTTATCCCTGGTGCCAAGGCCTCTTCTAAATCCCGCTTGTACTACTAACAATTCTCTATCTATGTACTGTTCTAGCCATTTTTTAATGATCTTTAGCAATATTTTGCTGGCATGTGATATCAATGATATTGTTCAATAATTTCCACATTCAGGAGAAAACCCACAACCAAGTGGATTGACAAGGTAACTGCTACAACGGGCTCTTGTGTGTCAAAGTGTGAGGATGGTGCAGGACAGGACTGGTTTCAAATCTTTTGTTTATAGGGTCGCTATGAGTTGTACTCGGCTCAAAGGCACCTAACAACAACAACAACTCTTAGCCCTCAAAACTGCAATTCATGAGGTTTTTCTTATCAGTTTTCTTCCCCTTTGTTTGTAAGAACTATTTCTAAACTTACATATCATTTTCCAATTTCTAAGACCACAATCTAACATCTACCTCATTACTCTTAACATATGATAACATCTATTTCATAGAGAAAATAAAGTCAATACATAGGAATTAGGGAGCTCTAGAGGCCTACTGAGTAGGGATTTGTGCTGCCAACTCATAGGTGACTAGTACGAATTCACCAGCTGTTTCATGGGAGAAAGACGGGTAATCTACTCCCATGTTGTTTACCGCCTCTAAAAACTTGCTGAAGAGCCAGCTATGAGTTAGTTCTGGACTCTACAGCGTTGACTTTACTTTTGAAAGAGAAATCCATAAATTGGCCAAATCTGCTACCACATTTGCATTCTCAATCATCTTTTCTTCTTCATATATTTAGTATAAAGGCTTATATCACTCTTGACCTTTTTTCCTATCCAAAACAACGGGGAAGGAGCTCTGGTGGTCTAGTGGCAAGACGCTGCAATGCAATGCTGAAGGCATGCGGTTAGAATCCACCAGATGCTCTGCTGGAGAAGGATGGGCAATTTCTTCCTGTGCCAGTCAGATCTGATTCGACAATACAGAACAAGAGAAAATAAAAAACCAATGGGGGGAAAAAAGTAACAAGAACATTTATAACCAGATCCAATCCATATGCCATTTCTTTTTTTTTTTTTTTTCATATGCCATTTCTTGTTTAAAATCTAAGGTCTCTTCAATGGCTTCAGATTAAACCTCAAAATCTTTATTGTGGCTTACAAAGCTTTCCTTTGCTATCTGCCCAAAATCTATTTGCCTCTCCAGTTTCACTTCATATATGTCTCCTTCTTCTTTATTCAATTATTTGATCAAATGACTTACTAAGTGCCTACAACAGACCATATACTAATGATGCCTTCCACAAAGGACCTTGGGTAGCAAATTTCATAGGCAGTCAGTCATACTACAAACCCAAAAGCCACATCTCTCTGAATCCACTCTACAGGGAGCTATGGTGGCTTAATGGTAAGGAACTGTGCTATTAATGAAAAGGTATGCAGTTCAAATCCAACAGCTGCTTTGTGGGATAAAGATGGGCAATCTCCTCTCACACAATTTATTACCTCTGAAAACCCACTGGAGTATTAGCTCTGAGTTGGTTCCAGCTTGATGGAACCCAAGAACAAGAACAAGATGATAAGAAAGAGAAAGATGGATCATTTTTTCTTATGCAATTTACAGCACTGAAAATCCATTGGAGGGTCAGGTATGAATTGATTCTGACTCCCTAGCAAAGAGTGAGAAATGTTTTTAAGTGGTTATATAATGAACAAAACAGTCCATGTCATAACTGACCTGTTTCAGTTATTCAAATGCAACAAGCTTTCTAAACTTCAAGACTTTGAAAATAATCATTCTGTTAAGAATCAAATCTGCTTTTCAACTTGTGTAGCTACTTCCTTTTTAATTTTTGAATTCTGGATTTAAAATAAATTCTCCATGGAACCAAGCCTTTCTTTTTCCCTGAAGCCTTTGTCAAATACTCAGCTACTACTCTTTCTCCTTCATTTATTATTTTTCTATTTCTACTTTAACTAGTGTCACAGGGTCGCTGAGTACTCGACAGCACTTAACAACACCACCCACAACAGCCTACAGAGAGCAGTTGGCCTAGCGGGCAGAAAGCCATGCTCCCAAGCCAAAGGTGGGTGACTCTACTTGTGGCCCTCAGGCCTGCCTTTAATTGTTTTTGGTAATACATTCTTCTAAGTCGTGTAACCCTGGTATGTGCACTTGCTGTACAGAGGTAACTCATGGTTGCTGTGAAGCCAAACACTATGACAATGATGAGTCAAATGCGAGAATGGTTACTCATGGTGGACAGTGTTTGGTGAAGCTTCCCGACTAAAACAAGTTTAGAATCAGGAGTGGCATTCACTTCCACAATAGCTTGCCTCTGGAAATCCTATGAACCTGGATAAAGGATGAAAGTTATACAGGAGGTGTCCAGAACTTTCGTTCATAGGGTCGTTATGAGTTGCCTGTGACGTGACGGCACTTAACAACAAGTTTTGTGCTGTGCATTAGAGGGTGTTAACTTTATAAAGTATCTTTTTTTAACAGAAAAAAAATATTTGGTATTTCAAAGAGGTTACCTTTCTTGAGTGATTTATTATACCATCTGTCTTTTTTAATATCTGGGATGGTAATCCTTACTGATGGATTTTCAACCAAGATTTTATGCAGCAGAGCTGAAAAAGAATTTAAAAATTAGGACATTCACAAGAGTTATGGCCTGTCATAAATGCTTAATTCTTAGAAAAAACATATATGGTAAAGTAGAAAGTCAATAAAAACCTAAGGAAAATCTTACTGAGATGAATTTACACTAGAGTTACAATGAGCTCAAATACAATAATGGAGTAGTACTGGCAATGTTTGTTTCAGCAACTAATGTGTTTATGGTAGGGAATGCATTTTCTATTAGCTTCCTGATGACCAAACATTACTTTTGGATAAGGAATAAATCTACTATATTATTGCTTATTTTCATGCAGTTCTTCTTTGCAACAATGCATTCCTTAGAATAAGTTCTAATTCTTAATTGTTTGCAAGTGAAATTGTAACTAGGAGAAATATTTCTTCCACATAACCTTAACAAAAAGGTACGAAAGAATTTTTTTCATTCTAAATTTCATTGCTCTAGTGTTAGATCTCTAAATAGATGAAAAATGGGCAGTCTCTTCCTTTTAAGATTCATAGAATTATACCCCAGCAATAATAGCAAAGTTCACAAGGACCACAAACAACAAATGCTGGCAAGGTTGTGGAGACTGGAACACTTATTCACTGCTGGTAGGAGTGTAAAATGGTACAGCCACTATGGAAGGTGATCTCGCACTGTCTCAAAAAATTGGAACTGGACATACCACTTGACCCGAACCAGAACCACAACTCAGATATATGCATACCCATGTTTATTGCTGCATTATTCACAACAGCAAAGAGATGGAAGCAACCCAAGTGTCCATCAACAAATGAAATTGACAGAAAAATTATGGTACATTCACACTATGGAATCTTATGCAGCACTGAAAACCCACTAACTCATAAAACATTACACAACATGGGGAGCCTGGAGGATATTACGCTGCTTGGTGAAATATCTCAGTCACAAAAGGACAAACACTGTATAATACCACTGTTATAAAATAGGACTGATGGGACAGGGGTTGGGCAGAGAATGGGAAAAGAATGGATAAATAATGAACAGATAAAATTAGAACTGATAAGGGGAAGGACAGTCTGAAAGGAATATATGATTAGGCATTATACATTTAACAATAACCTGGAACAAAGGATGTGCTGAAGGGTGGGGTGGAAGAGGGGCAAAGGAAGAGGGAAGAAAGTATGCAACAATGAATATAAATAAAATATAAAAGTATAGAAAGAGAAAAGAGAACCAGAAACAATGTAGAGCCACTATAACTTGGAATCAATTTGACAGCACTGAGTTTGAAAAATCAGGTCAATTCAATTAACCAGCAAAACAACTAACAATTCAAAAAACAATTCAACTAGCCAATTAACAAAACCAAAAACTAACAACACTTTACTGCTGTCAAGTTAGAACCAAGACTTTTTTTCCCTCCAGGGGAGAACATGAACGCAGTCCCCCACTACCACAAATTATGCAGACTAGTTTCCCACAATTGGGGAGATCACAGGGGTCAGTACAATCAAAGTGCAATGCATAAGGGTCGCCCTGGGAAAACCACCTTCACAATCATGGTATCTCCCCGGCCAGCAGAACCAATTCTTAGCTTAGTTTTCATAGCATTGGATTTCTGGGGCTGTAGAGAATGGAGCCACTGCTGGATCTGAAATGCCAAACAAGTAATGGCTTTGAGTTAGTAGTGTGATTTCCTACTGACTCTATCACTAACTATTAGATGATATTAGTTACACACGATATGTGAAATTTTTACCTTAAGTATTTCCAAAACATTTACTAACAGTAACTCTGTCTATAAGTCATAATTCTTACATCCCTCCTTCCAATTCCTATTAACCCGTAGTAAACTTGTCTGTGAATGTGCCTATTTTAGAATCTCCATATAAGTAGAATTATATGTGCATTCTTTGTATCTGTCTTATTTTACTTCAGAATTAGAAATGGAAGAAGACTCATAAACAACCTGTGTTACGCAGATGACACAACCTTGCTTGCTGAAACTGAGGAGGACTCAAAGCATCTGGCATATGGTCAAGGAATGCAGTCTTCAATATGAACTAAAGCTCAATGTCAAGAAAACAAAGATACTCACCACTGGGCCAATTGGTAGCACCATGAGAGATAGAGAAGAGATTAAGAATGTTAGCTCTTTCAGTTTGTTCGGGTCCACAATCAACACTTTTGGAACCAGCATCCAGGAAATCAAAAGATAAACTGGATTAGGAAAGTTTGCTATCAGGGACCACTCCAGAGTGCTGAAGAGCAAAGATGTCAGTTGAGAGACTAAGGTGTGCCTGATCCACTGTACAGTCTTCGCAAGTACTTGCTATGCATCAGAGACCTGGACAATGAATAAGGATGACTGATACCTTTCAGTTGTGGAGAAGAGTACTGAACTATAGACTGCCAAAGAGAACAAACAGGTCTGTCCCAGAGAGGGTGAAACCATGTTGCTCTCTGGAGGCAAGGATTTTGAAGCTCATGTGATATACTTTGGGTATGATGCCAGGCGGAATCGATTCCTTGGAAAGACATCATGCTAGGAAGAGTAGTGGGACATCACAGGAGAGAAAGACCCTGGGTGAGATGTCACACAGTGACTGGGGTAAATAGGACAGGGTTGAGGGCTGTTGTGCATAGGGTTGCTATGAGTCTCAGGTGACTCCACGGCACATAACAACAACAATACAAAGCAACCATCACCCTAAAGTATTTATATTTCTATTACTTTAATATAGACTAGATATATCTTCCAATATTTAATTTCATTTCTAACAGACTAAAGATTTCTATGTAAAAACAAAACCGTATGAATACTAAATAAAAACATGGGCCTTAAAAAAATTATTAATTATAAGGCCTTTCTAAACACAACAAGGACCCAGAAATAGATAGAGTACCAACATTTAACAAACAGATGCAATCCTAGATGTGCTCACTAGTCAATGCCAAGAAATTTGAAGACAACTACCTTGTCAACTAACTGGAAGAGATCCATTTGTTCCAAATTTTAAAAAAAAAGTGATTTAACATAATGTAGAAATTATTGAACAATATCATAACTATCACATGCAAGTAAAATACTACTGAGGATTATTCAAAAACAGCTAGAACAGTACATCAACAGGGAACTACGACAAACTCAAGACAGATTCATTCAGAAGAGACCATGATGGATCTTGGCTGATAACAGAGAACATCAGAGAGATGTTTATCTGTGTATTAATATGTAAAGGCATTTGACCTTGTGGATCATAAAAAATTATGGATAACAATAAGAAGAATGTTGTGTTGTTGTTAAGTGTCATCGAGTCGTAGGCAACTCACAGCAACCCTATGAATGAAAGTCCTGGGCACCTGTATAACTTTCGTCCTTTCTCCAGGTTCATGGGGTTTCCAGAGGCAAGCTATTGTGGAAGTGGGTGCCACTCCTGCTTCCAAGCTTGTTTTAATAGCAGAGCTCCACCGAACACGGTACACCATGGGTAACCATTCTCACATTTTGACTCATCAGAGTTCGGCTTCACAGCAACCACAAGTTACCCCTGTAGAGCAAGTGGACATACCAGGGTTACACAACCTAGAAGAATGTTTCACCAAAAACAGTTAAAGGCAGGCCCTCAGGCCCACAGGATTTTAAGCTAGTACCTGGAGCAGGCTGCAACAGGCTTGACCCCGCCCTTACTTATCCTTACTCTAAGGGTCAGGGCCGCCCATCCACCTTTAAATGCTAAAACGAACCCATAACACACAACGAAAAAGACCCCAGAAACCTCCTTTGCCTGACTGCCACCAAGAGAAGCTGCCATGGAGACACCAGCCATCCCACCAGATTAGGCAGCTGAGTTCCATGAGAACGGGAATACTAAAACTTCATTATGCTCTTGAGAAACCTTAACTAGACTATGATGCTGTTGTATGAATGTACACAAAAAGGGAACACTGCATGGTTTAAAATCAGGAAAGGTGTATGTCAGGGTTGTATCCTTTCTCCATACCTCTTTAAACTGTATCCTGAACAAGTCATTCAAGAAGCTGAGCTATATAAAGAATGTGGGATCAGGACTGATGGAAAGTTCTTCAATAACTTGCATTATGCAAGTGATACAATTGTGCATGCTACAGATGAAAAAAATTTGAATCACTTACTGCAGATGAAAGAATACACTCTTCCCTTCAATATGAATTATATCTCAACATCAAGAAAACAAAACAAAACAAAAACCCCTCACCACTGGTCCAACAGATAACACTATGACTAAATGGAGAACAGACCAAAGTAATCAACAATTTCACTTTGATCTAAAATCAACATCCAGGGTAACAGCAGTTAAGAGAGTTAAAGCCATAATGCATTGGGAAAATCTGCTATCAGGGACCTCTTTAAATTTTAAAAAGCAAGGATACTGGTTTAATCCAAGCCATGATCTTTTCATTTACTTGCTAGGCATCTGAAAGTTGGATAATGAAAAGAATGCTGACTAGCCCATGGACTGACTAAAAAACAAACAGATCTGTCTTGAAAGAAAATAAAACAAGAGTGTTCCTTAGAGTCAAAGATGTTAAAACTTAAGTCTCGCATACTTTGAGCAGCTTATCTTGGAAGGAAATATCATGTGGGGATATTAGAGGCTTATATATAGAAAGAAGAAGAACCCCAACAAGATGGATGGACACACTGACTGCAACAACGGGCTTGAACATATCAGAGATCGTGAGGATGGCACAGGATGGGGCAAGGTTCAGATTTGCTCTTCACAGGCTTCCATAGATTTCAGGTTACTTAATGCCACCTAATAATAATAAAAATGACAAGAGTCAGAAGTCACAAGAGCAAGACTGATAGATTAAACTCTAAGGCCTTATAGCTAGATGGCTGACTATGCAGACTGACAGCCCAGATTATCTATACTGAACTAAACCCTGAAATACGAACATAACAGATATGGATGGTATTCCTGAATTTTTAGTTTCAAAAAAGAGATAAAAGTATGTTTTTTGATGTGGGCCCCCTGC